GGTACGTGCCCTTGACCAGAATTGAACCCTCAACTCATTGGTCTGTGGGCCGATGCTCTAACCACTGAGCAAACCAGCCAGGACAATATTCTTAATCATTGTGTCACACTGCCTCTACCCACGTGCAGCAAATTCTGGACCAGGCCGCCGAATGGGGTCTCTGCTCGTGCTGTGCACTGCAGTAGACAAAGCTGCGTGTGGCTAGTGAGCACTCGGAAGGTAACTAGTGTGACAGAAGAACTGATGGATGGAGAGGCACCACCTTCAGAGTCCAGTGTCTGGATTAAGGTACCATTCACATGACAGGATCCCCGAACCAGACCACACATTTTCAACAGGAGCAATATCACCCCAAAGGCAACAAAAGCTGGTTTAGGGGGTTAAGGGATAGAAACTTTCTCCTTTTTATATAAAACATGCCTGTATACATTTAGTACATAAACAGATGTAAAGTTTGTCTATGGTATTAACATTTCACGCAGGTGGCCATTAGGAAACATTGTCTAAAAGACTGCAGGTGGGGCGTGGGGTGGAGTGCACAGCAATGAAAAAACGGGAGAGAAGCACAAAGATGCTGAATGTGTTCTCACATGGAGGTCGCCCTGGAAACCAAACCAAACTGCCCTGTACACGTGACTGCCTGCCAAGTTCCTGATCTCTGACACACATGTGGATCTCTGAAATGAGCTCACTTTGTAAGGAGAACACTGCCCATGAAAAGTGTAGCTCTTTCCTTCACATGGAAAGCATCAAGTACAGAATTCACAGAACTCCTTATTTAATGCACCTGGGTCCAGGGACGAAGCCGCAGGCCTCAGAGCAATATGGTCAGTGCGGTGATGGAAATGCAGACCAGGGGATGATGGTTTACCTTCATCCTCTCCCGTGCCCCTGTGCTGGCAAGGTAAAGAAGGTGTCCTTGTAATGGAGTCAAGCTTGAGTTTGTTCATTCAACACTGTTGAGCATCTACTAAATAAGCACTGGACACTCTGGGAAGGTCTACATTATGCTGTCCAACATGGTAGCCATTACCCACATGTGGCTGTTTAAATTGAGGTTAATTAAAATTAAAATTCAGTTCTTTATTCATGCTAGCCACATTTTAAATGCTCACTAGCCATATGTGGCTTGTGGCTGCTGCGTGGACAGCACATATAGAGAACATTTTCCTCATCACAGGAAGTTCTGTTGGGCAGCGCTGGTCTAGGGCTTTGTAACATGGGGACAGAGCCAGTGTGACACAGTGGTTAAGAATATGGCCTTTGGATTCAAACTTGGGTTCAGGATCCTAGCTTCATCATTCACTCGCTGTAGGACCATGGCATATTACTTAGTGTTTCTGAGCCACAGTTTTCTCCTCTATAAAATGGGAAGAATAGTGCCTAACTTCATAGGATTATAGTGAGATTTAAAGAAAATATACTCAACATTAAGTCATTGTTCAATACACATTGTTGCCATCCTTATCATTATCGTTTATCATCATTATCATCGTTGTTATTGGCAGGTGCGGTATTTAGACCATCCAGACAGGCATTTTTTATTCAAGTTAAGTTCAGTAATGTTCCTGTTATAGAGGTTTTCAAAGGTTAGGTGGTTTCCCTGCATATGTAGGTTCCTTTCCTGTCTGGTGGTCAGCACCCCTATCCTCACATCACATTACAAATTGTCCAAAAGCCTGGATCTGGGGCCAGCTTTGCTCTCAGACAGTATGACTGGTGAGGTAGCAGGGCCACTCTAGAGAGACAGAGAAGCACAGTTGTTGATTTGAATACATTTCTGCTATGTCCAGGGAAATTGTAGGACTAAGGTAAAGTTGAGGAATGGAAAACAAAGCTCTTCCTGAAAATAACTACATGATAGTTGGGGTATGTATTTGTTTAAGATATTTCCACCGAGAATCTCATTAGTGTAAAGCCTTGGCAGCTGGGTCCTGCAATAGAAGCAGAGGTACCAGCCCTTGGCCAAATCATTAAGACAAATTAAGACATACTAACATATGCTGGAAACAGTTATCCACATAGATTTCATTTGTTTCACTGCTGGAAGAAAATCCTGAGAGGACATGAAACACATACCCAAGAACCATTCTGCAGTCACCCTGTGAGCCTGTCACTAATCAGTACCTTAAGGGCTGGAAGCTGCTTAAATTGGACAAGTACCAAAGGCCAATGTATCTGAAAATACGCCTTCTATTAGGTCAGGGATACAGGTGACTCAGTTCTGTTAATTGGTGATTTTCTTGTTTGTTTTTTAAAACCTAGCTTATTATTATAAATAATTATAATTGTTTATCAATAATGCACAGAGCTCTAAAATGAAATGGGCACATTTTCTAGTCATAATATACTTATATACTTAGCAAACATTTATGTTTGCATTATTGTTTTTTGCTGTTTTTGAGAGGCCGAAACTAAATATGAAATAGTTCCCTTGTTTCTGAAAGGTGGCCTGATTCAGCATCTCTTAATTTGTTATTGTTTTTTGCAGGATTATTTTTTATTTTCTTACATTAGAAAAAGAAATTCTTCTGAGCACACCAAACTGCATTTTTTACAAAGAAAGAGAATAGAATTTATCATCATGGTTATTCCAGGGTATGGCTGTTGCAATATGCCCATCTCGTGTGTGTGTGTGTGTGTGTGTGTGTGTGTGTGTGTGTGTGCGCGCGCAGTAATTGTATAGCCTTGTCTGGGAGGTTGGTGAATGGGCCCTAAACAATATCCTGGGGTGGCTGTTAAAGAAGCCAGAGCCCCTTCTCTCAAAATATTAACTGCTAAAGAAGCAAGCAACGGCTAGAGGAATGATGTGTTTAGAGAGAAAGGTGATAACTTTCTTACAGATTTTTCCTGTACCTGATATGTTCAATGATATGTGAGGAGCATAATCCTTCGGTCACTTAAAAAAATGGACAGACCTTTTATAGTGTGAGGAGTGACTGTAAAAGCTACTTGTGCGTGCTGATAGCCTACAGGCTTACTGCCTTTTCCCTGGGGTTGCTTCATGACCACCTGTTCATGTTTCCTGGTGCCCTGTACATGAGGTTTTACAAATAGTATGGGACAACTCATGCACATTGCAGGCTCAGAAAATTATTTTCTGTGGTGATCATTTGATTCAGAATGTAATTCTGTTTTTGGAAATCAGGCAGGGTAGTCCAAATGACAACTAGCTGAAAGATGGTTTGGTTGCTTCTCAACTTGCCCTGTGCCCCACATAGAAGCAGTCCGGCTAGAGAGCGACATCATTGACCCCAGTTACATGAGTGTCTTTCCTGGAGGGCAAGGCCTTCTAGCAAGGAAGGGTGTGTGCCTTCCACCTCTACAGCTGTCCTTGGCATTCTAGGCAACCTTTGCAAGTCTAGGCAACATCCAGTACTTTTATTGGCAATCAAAGATCATCTGAACCTACATCTAACAATGTGGCCATATATCTCTTAAATCACCTGTGCTCTCAGAAGTTTTTGCTAACATCCTTCCTCTTTAAAATGGAAATGTTAAGGTGTGCCACAGTCAAAGCTGTACCCAATAAAATTAGCATAGAAGCAATTTGAAAATCATTGCAAGAAGAAAGAAGTATGCTAGCCAGGATGGTTAATGAAATTACTGTGATTTATTACTGAATTTGGCCCTGAGACTACCTAAAGATCTAGCAATAAGGGAATGATTAAATGCATTATGGTACAGCCCCATGGCAGAAGATTAAGTAGCCTTTAAAATTATCCTCAGGGTGAATTTATTTCTTTTTTTTTTATCCTCATCCGAGGACATTTTTCCATTTTTTTTGTACAGACAGAGTGGGAGGGAGAGAGAGGAAGAGAGAGAGAGGGAAACATCGATGTGAAAGGGACACATCGAGTGGCTGCCACCCGCACGACCAACCAGGGCCGGGGACAAACTGCAACCGAGGTACGTGCCCTTAGTGGGAACCGAACCTGGGTCTCTCAGGACCACAGGCGGACGCTCTAACCGCTGAGCCAAACCGGCCAGGGCTCAGGGTGAATTTATAACGATAAGGAAAAATGCTTATAATACAGTATTAGGAAGAGAGAGGATTAAAAACTATAAAATTATCTCAGCTATGTTTATAAAAAAAATTGAGAAAAAAATATTGGAAGATAGTTCACCAAAATATTAACTATGGCTGATGAGCTGAAGTGTTTTTTTTTTCTTTGATTTGAGAGAGAGAGGAAGACACACGGAGAGAGAGATAGAAACATTGATGAGAGAGAACATTGATTGGCCACCTCCCCCATGCCCCCACTGGGGATTGGCCCACAACCTGGGCATGTGCCCCGACCAGGGATTGAACCGGCGACCTCTTGCTGTGTAGGTCGACCCCCAACCACTGAGCCACACGGGGTGGGCTGATTTTTGTTTTCTTTATATTTTTCTCTTTTTTTTAGATAATTACCATGAACATATATTGCTTTTATAACTACACATAAGTTGTCTTTTTAGTTGACTCTGAGCTTCCTGACAAAAAGCAGAAGGGTTTATATGATTTCCATTATGTGATGAAAGAATGATCTCAGTTCTTCAAAATAAACTTTTCCTTGATGCTGAATTCCAAAAGGATGTTGAGTGATGTAATGTACAAGTCTTGATAAAGTTTTTTCATATATTTTAACATTTTATTTTATCTTTTCCATCATCATTTATCCCCTCTTGCCCTCTTCCACCTCTCCCTACCCCACCCCTACCCTGCAAGCAAATGCAGAAGGGGGACTCCTGACTGTGTCTCTTGACCACCCCCAAGGGGAGCAAAGGCACAGTGCTCACTATAGGCAGCGCGCTGAGGGCTTGCCAAGAAGGGGAGCTTGTCCCTCACGAGGCTCCATCTCTCAAGTCTGTGTTTGGAATTTTGCTTTTCTTCGCCCTTTGCATCTTATCCGAAGGTGTGCATAGGCCTGGCAGATCCAACGACAGCTCTCAGCTCTCTGTTTCACACCTTAAAGTCTTTTGAAAAATAATGTAATATGACTTCTTCCTCCTTTCAGGTGTTGCTGCACTGGATTCCAATGTATCTGGGAAAATCGGGCTGCGTGCTGTCGTGTATTATTTCAGTACCACTGTCATTGCTGTCATTCTAGGTAAAATGTGTTGCTGAATCCTCCTCCTTCTATATAATTGTGACTTTTCAGTTAAAAGTGGTTGGGCTTTTTATAATGCACAGTTCTCTTTTAAGTCAGAAAATTATACTGTTATACTACCATGAAGCTTTTTGGCTTGAAGTCTACACGGCGCCTTTTATATGAATCAAATATAATACTGACGGAATTTCAGCCATGGTACTCTTTATTAAAGTCTCCAGTAAGAAACAGAAAGGGGGTGACCGTTCTGTGCCTTTTCAAGATCATTGAGTGGAAGGGAGTGGAGCTGACAGCTTATATAATCTTTAGACCAATGAGTGTATAGTAGTGGAGTTGAGTTTAATTACAAAAGATTTCCCAAAAGATAGCATTTGAGTGCATTTCAAATTTCACATAGTACTGAGAGCTAACAGCTGGGTCTTGCCAAGTATACATTCCACTTGAAAGAGGGAGAAAGTTCTAAGGGAGTGTAGCTATCTTGTGTCTGGGGCATTCTTTTGTGAAGCCAGTATGGTCTGTCCTTTGTGACCTAGCGTGATATTTTAAGGATGCCCAGAATGGGAGGAGGGGAAGGGAGTGTCCTTGGATGCAGCCAGCTCGGCCCTTGCAGCTCTGCTGTGATGAACTGAGGAGAGGTGGTGAGGTTTTAGAGTTATTACACCAGGGGCCCTCCGAGGGCCTGAGCCCTGCCTAAGGCAAAGCCACATCTCCTCATGAGGTTCCTGAGGGAGGCCAACACAAAGGGGAAACGTTGGGTGTGTATCTTTTCTGCAACCCTGAAAGGGAAAAGTGGACCACGGCCACTCCTGGCCCTTCTATTGCCCAGTGACTCCCCACTGGCAAAACTGACCCATTCAGCATCCCTGAATTCCTGACCCTTGGATTGGCATTTCCCCTTGGAGGAGCAATAGGGGCTTGGGGACTTTTTTTCTTCTTCACTCTCCTCCAGTCCAACAACCTCTGGTGCCTTGGTCTTCAACAGCCTCTCCTTGGACACTCAAGTGACAGGAACACATTACTGTATCTCCAAAGGCCAAAATGGGGCATTCAGACGCTCTCTGTTTACAGTGCTTCTTACCGTGAGAACTACCTCCCTGTAACTCCTGTCTGTCTATTCTTCCTTCCACCTCCTGAGAGTCACACAGAACAACACTTTTCTCAACCCTGACCCTGTTTAGGATTACACACCAGCTATCCAGATATGTGAAGGCATATGGTATGGAAGGAAGACACGGCTTGTTCTGTGTGACCCTCAGGAAAAGAACTAGTATCTGTGGGTAAAAGTTCCAGGAAGATATTGAACAAGTGACCTGAGTTGGAAAAAGGGTCACCCTCACCCCAACCCCTAACTGGTTGACCTCATAAGCTAAAGAAAAGAAAAAAGAACATTCTCATCAGCAGGTGTTTCCAGAAACATTCTGGACTATAGCCCCCCTTCATTTTTAAAAAAGACATGGGAAGAGTTCATTCTGCTTCATTTAAATGAAAAAGTAATTAAGGCTGCTGCTGAGGTCGCAGCTGAGATTCAGCATTTTGGCTGGACCCTGGGGTCCCCATCCCAGTATTGCTTGGTCCCACTACGTCCACTGGTTCAAAGAAGGATGCACTGGGGGTGCCAGGTGCCCTCGAAGGGTCTTAATGCTCTGTGGGTGCTATCCTTGGCCACAGGTATCGTGCTGGTGGTGAGCATCAAGCCTGGTGTCACCCAGAAAGTGGATGAGATTGACAGGACAGGCAGCAGCCCCGAAGTCAGTACGGTGGATGCCATGTTAGACCTGATCCGGTGAGTATTTTGCCAGCAGGGTGACTTCATTGGTATTTGACCTGTGTGGTCACAGGGGGCCTCCTGCTTGGTTTAGTGCTCTGCTGTTGCCATCTTGAAATTTTTAATACCTTTTAAATTATTGTGCATTTTTATTTTGCCCTGGACCCTGCAAATTACATAGCCAGTCCTACTTGCCAGGTTGTGGTCCCAAGAGGGTCTGGAAGGAACAAGCCCCTCTGTCAAGATTTAGGGTGGACAGAGGTGCAGAAAGTATACTTGTTGCATTAAGATGGTGGGCTGGGTGGTCAGTTCTGAAGCACATTTGAAGAAATACATTTTTTAACTGTACAGGAAAAACTCTTTATCTGAAGCAATCAGGGCTGGAAATCAGTTAGTTAATAAGTAGCAATTTAAGAAGAGAATCATAAAAAATGCTGGATATGCATTATATATATATATATATATATTTTTTTTTTTTTACTTAAAACTGAAATGCATTTGCTTGCCAATTTTTTTTTTTGTATGGTCAAGGTCTTTGAGTGTGTCAGTTGGTTGTAATTACCTGTCATTTCTGTTGCATATGCTGCAGAATGCAACAGAAACGCATCATCTACAATTTCCAGATTCAGTTTCCATGAAGCGGAGCAACAAAACCCCTTAGAAATTGCAAAGAAGGCTGAGCGCCGAATCCTTCCACTTTCTCTTTTTATTTGAGTTGGCTCCCCATACCTAATTTAATCACAGAAATTTTAGTTGCTCGTCTTGATTGAATTTCCAGGCATTTGGCTTGGTTTTATAGAAACCATACCTTCCTCTTCACACTCAAACTTCATCGATTTACATAATGTTTAATTCTGTAATTACAATGATATTTGCAGTTGGCATGAAGAATGTGGGAAGAAATGCAGTGGGGTCTTGGTAGGCATACATTCTCACTGATGAAAACAGAAATGTGCAGAATATTAAAGAAGTCTCTTAACTGTGAGCGTCCACCTGCCAGCGTGGCCTTTCATCCAGGACAGCGTGCGTATCAGTTACTCAGTGAGTCAGTTAAGGAACAGTTGATAAGGAGACCTTTCTATACTTGGTTGAAGCTTAGCAGGGAAAAATAAATCTTACTACAAGGAAGTATTATGCCAAGAAGCCAGAAGAGACACCAGAGTACTGGTTCTGTGTCACACTCATACCCACCGGTGCCTTGGGTACGACAAACAAAACAAAACACTTTTGCCTCAACATAATGCTGCTTTTCATGTCTCCAACAGGAATATGTTCCCGGAGAACCTTGTCCAAGCCTGTTTTCAGCAGGTAATAATATTGACTTTTGCCCACATCGCTCCCCTCTTCCCTCTACCAATTAAGTTTTCTTTTTTCCTGATGTAACCCAACAAATGGAATTAACCCATCAAAAATGACAGGAAGTATACCTGAATGGAGGAATTTCAGGTGACTCTTCTGTTCTGTGTTCCTGGTCTTTCCGGTCACAGTGAAGTAAGTGCTTATTGTAGCTTATACTGCTCCTTTTCCGTTATGTTTTTCTCCCCCTCAAAAGGGCTTATATGGAGCAAGTCAGAAAACTGTCAAACAACAAATGTTTTCGAATATGGCTTCTAGTTCTTCATACCTATTTTTGGAGAACCACATTATATTTCTGAATAAACTTAGACTATCGGCAGATGCCGGGCGGTGAAAAAAGTCGCCCTCTGTCTCTTTCACTCTCCCGTGGGCTGATCAGTGTCTGACCCCCAAGGGGGCTGGTGCTCCCGGCATTTGGTCTTTCCCTTAATCATTCTGTCGCCGTTGCTAGCACTCTAAAGAGCAAACTAACAAAGCCATGATTTTTTTCTTTAGGAAAATTTAAAAATCTCTTTATTCCATTTTCTTCTAGTCTTTTTTTCTCTTGTTTGTCTATGCATTTAGACAACTGAGTCTATCACAAACTGCTGAATTGATTTACATAAATTATATGAACAGAGACCCCTGTGTATACCAACAGAAATGGCAATTAAGTTGCTCGCTGCCGACCTCCAGGCAGCACAGAACCACCTCTATTCCAGGGGTGCCTCTGCGGTTCAGCCACAGTGGTCATCTGTAAGGCCCGTGGTGTCCGCAGAGCCTCGGGGGAGCGGTATTTACGCCGGGCGTCTTGGTGTACCAGCTCTTTCCTAAACCTCTGCTGAAGCTCACAGAGCCAGGCAGGGCTCAGGAAGGGGAGTCAACAGAAATCTCACGGAATAGCCCTGAAAGGACTGTTGATTGTGGAACAACCATAAAGTTGATGTTGATTAAAGTCACAGAGACTACATTTATCAAAGTGATAAGGTTTCTCCCAGGTTAAAAATAATAAATGAATGAATAATAGAAGCAAAAATTATTGACAGGATTCCTGTAGATTCTGTTAACGCACGTACAAATAAAGCCTATACATTCTTTCACATTGTAGCTCCATTCATTAGTCCTTTATTATGAAAGTGAGAGAACATTTTGACATGTTTGAATGGTGGCTGTGGGAGTCAGAGGTTTGGATTTCTCAATTCCACTTGTGGTTCCAAAGTCTCGTAGGAGGTTCTGTCAGCACCTGGAGCCAACATCGTCGCCAGAGGTAGAACCTTTCAGTGGTACTTGTTTGCTCAAAGTAACTTATTCCTGTGCTTCAGCCTCAGATGCTTGAAAAACTCTTTTTCTCTTTGTTCCTTTGTCTTTTTCTCCTCCAACGTGCAGTATAAAACCATGCGTAAAGAGGTGCAGCCTCCCAGTGAGCCAGGAATGAACATGACGGACGCCTCTGTCACAGCCCTCGTGACGGAAACATCTGTCACAGCTGTCATGACAACTGCCGTTTCCAAGGTACTGTTTCCTTCCTTGTCACCCGAGCCCCCTCCCCAGTAGGCAGGGGGTGAGCCGTGAGTGAGCAGGAGGTGGAAATACAGTCACTCCTTGTTATGCTTGCACTCCGCCTTTGTGAGTCCGCCTCCTCGCTAACATGTATTTACAACCTCAGAATCAACGCTCGGGGGCTTTTGTGTCATTTGTAGACATGCAAAGAGCGGTGAAAAATGTAAGCCGTCCGGTGTACATGTGTTCCCAGCTGAGGCTGAACAAGGCTATGCTCTGCCTTCTTGTTGCAGCTCTCCCTATAAACAAATATCCTTTCGTGGTGTGTTTATGCTACGTTTTTTGTATTTTTCATGGTAACTTCACTGTTTAAAATATCTTCCAACCATAGTGCTGAAGTGCTGTCTGTGGTTCCTAAATGCGAGAAGGCTGCGGTGTGCCTTGCAGAGAATCCAGTATGTTAGGTCAACTTCATGCAGGCGTGAGTTGTAGTGTGTTGGTTGTGAGTTCAATGTTCATGTATCAGCACTAGATATTAAATAAGGTGTCTCTGAACGGAAACATGCCTAAAACAAGGTCATGGATTGGTTATTTGATGAGAATGTTGTGAACACTGGTTCCCAGGAACTTAATCATACGTTTTCCCTAGAAACAATGATTCAGGATTCGCCGACTCAGGGTTGGTGACCACTTTATAGAACCTAACTACCAAGCATCATGAGAAGCCACTGAACCACACAGAGAAAAGAATGAACCCTGTACCTCCGTATCTCTGCCACTCCTCAGAGTGGAGGTGGGCACCTCTGGGGACTGCTTTACATTTGCACGACTATGTAAATGCAGAATGCAGGCCCACGGTTTCTTATCCAAAACTCTCTGCCCAGATGTGATTCAGATCCAGGGTTTTCCACATTAGACAGGCCAGGGGGCTGTGGGTACACATTATATACCATCCTTAACTAGGATGGGTAACTACACTCTAGAATCAACACATCAATGTTTTAGCAACAAACTTATGAATATTCTGCCAAGCAAGAGAAATACACCAAATGTAGCCTCATCTCGGTTCAGGATAGGTTTTGCCACCGAGAGTTTGCCATAAAATCATTGATAAAATCAGTGGGCTTTGAGGGTGTTTGGGATTTCACTGTTGAAGGCTAGAATATGGGACCTGAAGTGGTACGTTTTTAGTTCTGTAGTAGATTTTCCCTGAATGCGCCCTGCCTTCACACAGGAAGGAAGGATTTAAGTTAAAGAGAAATATTCAGTAGACTTAAGGGTTCAAATTAACCAGGCCACAGTTGGCTCCCCACTTCCTCCTGCAGAAAGCCTTCACTCCACAGACAGATTCTGTTAACTCTTCTGACAGGTCCAGCAGCCCTAGCTGCTCCCTAGTTTCTGGGCTCACTTCCCAGAGGGCCCCTCTATTCTCGCCAGACCCACCTCCTTCATTACTCCTTATTCCTGCCTCTTCTGATGGTTCCACAAGGATTCCGAGCAGAACGGTGGGTCGCAATAGTGACAGGACAGGTGTGGCATCTGCCCTCGTGTGAAGAGGGACGAATATTACGGTTGGGAAGAACAGGGCATTCTGAGGCATTCAACAGGATGGTTTAAATTTGTTTGAGAGTCAGAAACATGGGTAGGAATTACCCAAGCAGGGTACAGAGGTCCAGTGCATGATGACTTTTGCCTTTGCTTATCATTTTTTAGGAGTATGTTTGCACCTTCTGGCTGCCTGCTCCTCAGGCCTAGCTTTCCCTAACCTCACAGCCCTCGTTCATGTCCCAGTTTCCATGACACCTGTAACTCACAGCTTGGCTGTGCGGTTAATTGCGCCATATCACTGTCATTGGCTCGTGTTTCTCACGGTTAGTTTTGTCTCTGGCTGCACTTTAAGACCTTATGCTGTGGCCAGTGTGGTTGGCACACTGTAGCTGCTTGGTAAATGTTTATTTGATTAAATCAGATCATAATTAAGAAATGGCTGGTACCCTAGGGGCTGGTTCAGTTATGTTATGTCTTTATGAAGTCTCTCAGTAAACCTCATGCTCTTCTTACAGGATAAAACAAAGAAATGGTTCATGGTAGTAGGAATCTGGTTAACTTTTATATCTCCAAAATCCTGTTGGTCATGCAAATTAGAGGCAGTAAAGAATATTCCCATGCTGTCCAGCCGGTGTGGCTCAGTGGTTGAGCCTGGACCCATGCACCAAGAGGTGGCTGGTTTGATTCCCGGTCAGGACACATGCCCAGGTTGTGGGCCCGATCCCCAGTGGGGGGCATGTAGGAGGCAGCCAGTCGATGTTCTCGCTCATTGATGTTTTTATCTCTCTCTCCCTCTCACTTCCTCTCTCTCTAAAATTAATAAAAGAGAAAAAAAAATTTTTTAAGAATATTCCCATGCTTCATTATCAGGATAAAACAGTAAAATGTCCTAAAAACGTCCACACTGGCAAATATTCTGTGTTTCCTGCATTATTAATTCCTACCTTTTTTTTACAGCCTCCAAATGTAGCTAGTAGTTAAAATAACCCTGAAAAAGACCTTGATTCTAAAGTTCTTATTAAAAATGTAAAACATCCCAGAATAAGAAATCTTCAAAAGAAATATTCAAATATGGATTTGTCGAGAAAAAGAGTGAAAAAAAAACATTTTAAACTTCAATGGCTAAGGGTGGGGGCAATAAAAATTTGATACATGCATAGGTGGGTTTTGTTTTTTGGTTTTTTAGTTATATTTCCCAAAGTATTGTTGACTCTGGTAGATCACTAGTTTATTATGTTTGGCTGTTATATCTTCTCGTTGCAGTGCCTGTGCAGTCTAAAAAGGTTATAATCATGCATCGATACATGTTCTTGGTTTTGATCCACAGAATGAAACAAAGGAATACAAAGTCGTAGGCATGTATTCAGATGGCATAAATGTCCTGGGCTTGATTGTCTTTTGCCTCGTCTTTGGACTTGTCATCGGAAAAATGGGAGAACGGGGGCAGATTCTGGTGGATTTCTTCAATGCTCTCAGCGACGCAACCATGAAAATCGTTCAGATCATTATGTGGTGAGCAAACACCCCTTAATGCCATCTTGCTTCCCCTGACAATCGTCCCCTCAAAATTGGAACCAAGAGCCTTATGTTTCTCAACTGACTCACCTTAAAGAGGGGGAACCCTGAATATCAAGACACTAGAGTATTAAATCATTCCACGTATTGCTTATTGTTCACTAACAAAAGTCTAGATATTAGCCGTTATCTTTTCTACCAAAGCACTTGATCATCTTGTGTCCAACCAGCATTCAAGGAAGAAGTAACTCTTGAAGGAATGATCTGAAGAGTTCCCTGTATATCAAAATTCACAGTGCTTTTCTTATTAGGCCCCACTCAGAAGTGATAGTCAAAATTCAACAGGTACAATGTGAGCACTAACCCATCCAATGAAAACTGCTTGAGTGTCTGCCCTGTCTCTGGAGATGCTGGAAAGTCCATCTTTCCTCAGAGGCCTCTGTCCCACTTAAGTCACATTGAGTTGGTTTAACATTATTTACCCCAAAGTGTAGACATTGACATAAAGGATTCAATTATTTCAGTCACTTAACCCCACTGATCAGCTTCATTGTCGATAAAAAAATGGATAATAGCCCTGGCCGGTTTGGCCCAGCGGTTAGGGCATCGGCCCTCAGACCAAAGGATTGTGGGTTCTATTCTGGTCAAGGGCACGTCCCTGGGTTGCAGGTTCGATCCCCAGCCCCAACTGGGGTCATACGGGAGGCAACCAGTTGATGTGTCTCTCTCACATCAGTGTTTCTCTCCCTCTTTCTCTCTCTCTCCCTTCTACTCTGTATACAAAAATCAATGCGAAAATATCCTCAAGTGAGGATTACCAAAAAATAAAAATAAAATAAAAGTATACAGTTTTCAGGTGTACAGTAACCACACCTTCTTGCCAAATCTGTCCCATTACGGTAGCTCAGGTGGGTAGAATTTAAGGTGCACACAGGTGTTGAAACCTGGAGCCAGTGTGGTCCGCCAGGGCGTGGAACTGAGCTGCAGGCGAGACCTTAGCGTCATTGTGTACCCTGAGCTCCCCAACAGCGTGTGCAGAGCCGAGGTGCAGGCCCTGGCGTGTTTATTCCCCAATTACCCCTCCCTGAGAAAACACCTGCTGACTTTGTTGTGCTTCCTTTCTAGTTACATGCCGTTGGGTATTTTATTCCTGATTGCCGGAAAGATCATAGAAGTTGAAGACTGGGAAATATTCCGCAAGCTGGGCCTTTACATGGCCACCGTCCTGACTGGGTATGTCAACTCAGAGAAGAAACAGAAACCTCACTCGAGCTCATGAGAGTCTGGCTTTCAGTGGGTTAAAATCGGCTTCTCTCCCACATGCAGGGGGAAATGGGGTTCAGCAATAAGAAAGCTGGGTGTCGGGGGGAGGGCTGCCCTTTAACAGCTGTACTGGAGGTGGATCACACTGTGTTCATTGCCAATCTTGGCAGAACAGCCTGGACCAGGCTGTGTCACTGCCTTTATTAGTTGTGTTCAAATAGTTTTTTAAAACCTATTGGTATCCAGTCTTGGCTCACTTCCTCAGGGCTGTGAACTAACCAAGCAAGTAAGAGTAACCTCCATGTACCCTGAGCCTGAAAGAAAGTAGGCAGGGCCTAAATAAAATCAGACTTGAGCGGTAGGAGCAGGGTGGCTGGTTGGTTCCAGGTCCCTGTTGCTGGGGCTAATAGCCACTGTCACCTCCTGCATCGTCACAGGGCCAGAGAGGGTGCTGGGAAAATCTTCAGGCTGGTAGGAGTTATGTAAAGCAGGAAGGCAGCAGAGCACAGGTCATTTGCGTATGTATTACAGCCCAGTTATTGGTTCCTAGAGGGGATAGGTTATAAATGGTGCCCCCAGATATCTAGCCGGAAGTGGGATATATCACATATGCTGAGAAATATGGACCATGGGAATGAGTAAACATCATCAATTTGACTCCCACTGGTCACTGCCCCCAAACACCCAACTTGACTATATCAGCTCACCTGTTGGGACTCGATTACATTGGGTTGCATTGGGGAGTTTCCACTACACAGCCTTTGGTGCTTAATTTGCCTTTACCAGAAGCATAGCCCTGATGGCCGACAGAGAAGCAGCCTGGATTCCTACAGTGAGAAGGGCAGTGAAATCCCAGAGCCAGTGCAAAGGGAGGCAGCACCGTCCACCTTACTAGAGGCCAGGGCTACGTCCAGGCAGTGAATGTGGACAAAGTTTATTATGCTGAGCCATTTCATAGTGGGGTTCTGCTGGTTTCTGTTCTCCTATCCTAGCTCGGTTTCTAAGAGAAAACTAAGTCAGTTCTTCCATTCTCAGCCACAAGCTCTCTATCCAGAAGACCCTCTTTCCATACCCCCAGGGGCTGTATTTTCAGTGACCACTTATTTCAGCTTCATATAACGAATCTTTATACTTTAAGTTGCCACATACATGGCATCTGCTGAATCGGTCTGGCTTCTGAGGCCCCGTTTTGTGTAACATGTGAAACAAGGAATCGTTTGGGGAGACAGCAGTAACAGAGTCAGTCCTGAAGTCTGACTGTGGAGGAGCAGGGACTTCCTCCTCCTCACTGCAGTCCTCACTCCCCTCAGACAGTGGGCACCATCCGGTAAGACAGCAATGTGGCCCAGGAGCAGAGTGGCTGAGGGCTGTGATAGGACTGTCACAGAGGTTTGTATGGGACCACAGAGTCACCAAAGAGTGAAGGGTCAGCTGTACTGAGCCTTAGAGGAGGAGTAAGAACCCAGCAGCAGAAGGAAATGAAAGCATCTCAGCGCGTTTAGCAGGAATCGCACGTACAGGGCTTGGGAGCATGATGTGACTGTTCCGTGTGCTCTGAAATGTGGATTCAGCTACTGGCTTTGCCACTAACTTTGACCAGATACTTCATTTGCTGAGAGAATCTCCTTATTCCATATGTGGAATGGAGACATATATTCCTGCCCGACTTCTCATTTTCTCACCGGGGCAGTCTTCAAGTTGAATGACATTACGAATAAAAAAAACTGTTTGAAAAAAGAATTACTGTGAAGCGGTGGTATCATCTATGAACCTGTTCCTCTCTCTCTTTTACAGGCTTGCAATCCACTCCATTATAATTCTCCCACTGATATATTTCATAGTCGTAAGAAAGAACCCTTTCCGATTCGCCATGGGAATGGCCCAGGCTCTCCTGACAGCCCTCATGATCTCTTCTAGGTGAGTAGAAGAGGGGTATCTAGAAGTCTCTGAACCAAGCCTTATCAACTCTCACCTCACTTGACGAAGCACTGGCTGCAACTTGGGGTTTTTGTTGCTGCCTTTAATTCAAGAAATGATAACCCTGGCCAGTGTAGCTCAGTTGGTTGGAGCATCGTCCCGTTCACCCAAAGGTGACAGGTTCGATTCCCCGTCAGGGCACATACCTAGGTTGTGGGTTTGATTTCCCTGTCAGGGTGCATGCAGGAGGCAACCAATCAATGTTTCTCTCCCTCCCTCTTAGAGCAATAAAAAAGGAAAAGAGAGAGAGAGAGAAAAGAAAGAAAGAAATGATCTCCATATTCTCTGCCCATGTCCTTGAATGTAGTTCTTCACCCTGTGGGATATTTCCAGACCTCTTTGCATGGCTTGCAGCCCAGGAAGGGGCTATGCTCTAACTTGGAGCAGTGGCAACCATAGATTTCTGAACCTGTCCAAAGTACCAGCATGGTCCGGCTGGTGGCTCGGTGGTTGAGCATCGACCCATGCACCAAGAGGTCGCCGGTTTGATTCCTGGTCAGGACACATGCCCAATCCCCAGTGGGGGGCATGCAGGAGGCGGCCAGTCGATGTTTCTATCTCTCTCTCCTTCTCATTTCCTCTGTCTGTAAAATCAATAAAGGAAAAAAAATTAAAAAGAAACAATTTCATTTAAAATCAAAACAGAGTACCAGCATGCTTCGGGCTCCCGGTTTGGTTTTTGGAATAGAGGTGTCTGTTCAGGCAGGGACTGAGGACCAGCATTTCTGAACTGTAAGCTCCTTTGTCTTTTATCACACAGTTCGGCAACACTGCCCGTCACTTTCCGCTGTGCTGAAGAAAAGAACCAGGTGGACAGAAGGATCACTAGATTCGTATTGCCCGTGGGTGCCACAATCAACATGGATGGGACTGCCCTGTACGAAGCAGTGGCAGCTGTGTTCATCGCACAGCTCAACGGCTTGGCCTTGGGCATTGGGCAGATCATCACTATTAGGTGGGGCTGGGGTCACACTCGTTTTCATCTGTTACTGGAATTGTCTCCAGTGAAAACCGTCTGTGAAGGGAGATCAAACGTGGTCCAGTGGTGGATTGATTTTCTTGGTCTACAAAGTCTCTCCCAAGACTAAACATGACTCTATTACAAGTAGTGGGATGGTGGCACACAAGATTTCTGCTTCAGGGTCTGAATAGCCAAAAGCATCACTCCGTTCTCAGTTCAGTGCCTCACTGGGTCCTCAGCACAGAGTAGGTACCAACGATTCAAGGTTGTACAAGGGCCAGTCCCTTCTTTCAAGGGATTCCCAGTAGGTAGGTAAGGGATACACGTATCTAAATAAATGCTGAGTGGTGTGATGAGGGCAATAACAGAGGTTTGAATGGGAGGCACAGAAGACACCAGGGAAGGAAAGGTTGGCTGTACCTGGGAAGGTGAGGAAAGGCTCCCTAGAGGAGGAGAAAGTTTAGCTCAGTTTTAGAAGAGGAATAAGAATGTCGTAGGAGAAGAAGGAAGCTAAGAGCATGTTAGATAAAAGGACTAGTGTGTGCAGGGGCTTGGATATAACCATGGCCGTAGGTACAGAGTGCAGATTATTTGGTATGACTGGCAGTGTGCTGTGTGGAGAACATAAAGAAATGAGTCAGGATCGTGTCATGAAAGCTTTGTATGGGGAGCTCGTGGAAGCGTCTTGGACGATCTCATATTATGGACAGATTTTCATTTTAGAAAGGTAATTGGCAATATGGTAGAAGGACTGGATAGGAGCAGGAACCATAGCTGGAAGAGCAGTTAGGAGATTATTGCAGAAGTCCAGGTGAGAGATGGAAAGGCCCACACCAAGGCACTGGCGTGGGGGATGGAGAAGAGCTAGTGAATTCAAGAGGTGTCAGGTAGATTCAGAGTCAGGGACAGGATGGCTGGGACCCCAGGACTGGTGGATGCTTCTGGATTGGTGGATGGTGCTTACCAAGCAGGAACTAGTATAAGACAAGCAAATATAGGTGGGAGGATAAAGAGTTTATGCTTTTTGACTTTGAAATGCCTTTAAGATACCCAGGTAGAAAAATGTCTCGACTGTAATTACACAAGTCAGGGTGCTCAGCTTGATAGTGAGTCAGTTCACTGTGTTTGAATCTGAGCTTTACCAGGATTAGCTGTGACCTTGGCCAAGTTACTTGAATTCTCTAAGGTTATGTTTTCCTCCTGTGAAGTAAGGATAATAATAGTATCAACATTTTATGCAAGTAGTGATAATTAAGTCAGGTGATGCATATAAAATGCTTAGGATGATGACTACATAGTGAGACTGAGTAAATGTTCAGCATGGATGACATTCCATAGGACGAGTTCATAGATAAAGGACTAAGGACTGAGCCCTAGAAAATCCTAATGTTAGAGGCAGGCAGGGAGGGAAGAACCCAAGAGGAAGAGTAATAAGAAGAGAAAGGTGGAAAGGGAGCCATGAAGCCAAGGGATCATTGAAACCCAGAGAAGAGAGACTTTCACTGGAGTTAAATACCGCAGAGAATCTTCCTCAAATAAAGACTGAAATTGTCTAATCAAGTAGATGGTGAAGATTTCATCAGTGAATTTTTCCAAAGCCCTTCCTCTCAATATGGTACCATTAGCTACACACATGAATTGGACAGAGCAGACACAGAAGGTTCTGTCATTGTAGAAATAGGATCCATCATGTAAGTCCTGTCATTGCAGGAAATTCTACTGGTCAGGGCTGCTTTGAAGTGTGGATTGTGATTAGAGTTCATCAGAGACTTGAGTTCAGTTTAGAGCAGAAGTTTAAGACTAAACTGGGCTCCTGAGCCTACTCAAGGTTGAATCTGAACATTTCAGAGTTAATTCGCTCTTGCATCTCCAGCCCTTGGCATAGGCATAAGTTCTAACACAGTACATTTTTTAATCTTCCCCAACCCTAAGTCATAAAATAATTATTGCAGGTTGCCTGAAATTAACTGAAGACGAGTGTAAACTAGACGATTTGGCCTATGAGCTGGGCAGCTGTGTGGATGCTGCATGATCTGTAAAAAGTGTTAGTGGCTAAAGAAGCACGTGCTAGAAGAGCTCAGTAAAGTCCTGTAGTTTGAACAGCAACAAGTATGTTAAGATTGAAACCTTGAATCATGCCTGAGAAAGTTCCCCAGCCACTGTGGTCCCAGCAGGTGTTCCTTTCAGATTCCCAAGTGCCCTTTCCCACCTTCCTCACCTCGGGCTGTGGAACCTCATCTGCACTGAACTGATTTCCCAGGAGTGGTTGTATGAGATGCCAGTTATTTTTTATTTTGAGAGAGAGAGGCAGGGAGAGGGAGATAGAAACATCAATCAGCTGCCACCACGCGCCCCCTCCCAGAGACTGGAGCCTGCAACCCGGGCAGGTGCCCTGACTGGGAATCAAACTGGCAACCTGTCTATGTACAGGGTGATTCCCGACCAACTGAGCCATACTGGCCAGGGCACGGTGCCTGTTCTTTGGAGTATTTGCCGCTTGGTGATGAATTCCCTCTCTCTCTCTCTCTGCCTCAGTCAAGTTTCCTAGATCTTTCTCACCTTTTTTTAAATAAAAAACTTGTTTTGGGCATGGAGGCTAAATAATCGATTCACATAAAAACCTCCCTCCTCGCTCTGGTGTATTTTTACATCAGACTTGGCTGATAACCTCTGGCCCAGAGCCAGTTACAACTGCAGAGTAATCATTGACTTAGAATAAAAATTCCTCTCTGGATCCACCTGGGAGGAAAATGAAATAATAAATGTTATTTTTAACTTTACAAGTTACAGTTGTGGCTCTTATGGTTAATGATTGGAGAGATATTTTTGACCTATAGTTTCTCTCTTTCTGTGGCCCTTTGGGACTAGACATCAAAGAAATGTAGGCACCATCCAGCCAAAACATACCTTTTTGTCATAATACTGTATTCATTTATCAAAGGTTCCAACTAATTAAAAGTAGGGTACATTTTCTTTTTTTTTATTTAATTTTTTTTATTGAATTTAGAGAGAGAGGAAGGTAGAGGGAGAAGAGAGAGAAACATCGATTGGTTGCCTCCTGTACGCACCCTGACCCAAGATCAAACCTGCACCCTGGGCATGTGCCCTGATGGGAAATCAAACAGGTGTCTTTTCGGTGCATGGGACAACATTCAACCAACTGAGCCACACTGGCCAGGGCAGGGTACAGTTTCTTATAATAAAAGATAATTATAGAATTTGGGGCCCAGAAAGAGCTTGGAGGGAAAAGTAGCAGTGAGAGTAACAGTAGTTGTTTCTGTAGTCATAGTAACAATACCAGCCGCAGTGGTAGCAGAAAAGGCATCTGGTTTTAAGCATCTGCTCTATCCAGGTGCTGCGCTGGGTGCCTTACATGTATTACCTCATTGAGTCTTCACGCAGCCCTACACATAGTCCCATCTTACCGGTGAGAAACAGATTCAGGGCAGTAACTTGCCTAAGGACATGCTCTTAGTAAAATTGTTTCCCCTATATGAACATTTATACCTCAGACCAAAACCAGTTAGATAGCCGAAGTTCAGTGAGCAAGGTCAAGGTCAAGAGTAGAGTTCTGGCTAAATGGATTTTGAGTTTCAAGCCCAGCCTCACACTATACTGACCATGTGGTTAACAGGTGTGGAGGTTCCAGGAGGGATCCATGGACCTGGACACACATCACCTCTGACAAATGAAACCCATCAGTGCTTTCTGTTTAAATGTTTTCAGCCAGCATTGAAATAAGCTTGGGTTTCACAAAGTCAGAACAGAACTAAAGGATTATAGAGGTGGCCTGAAAATTTGAGAGGAGTAAAGACAGCCCCAGAAATCTCTGACTTGCTGGAAATTGGGTGGCCACAGCCATTGAGGAAAGACACTTGTCTAAGAACTCAGGCCTGAGCTTAACCCTCAGACACTGTCTGTGACCATCGCCAGGCAGGGAAATGGGCACTAGTATCAGCTTTGTAAGAACTCTGAGTCTTTACGAGCTCCCAGGAATATGGGTTGTGGCTAGAATCAGGGATTCTTCTAGTTTGAATGGGCAGTTTCTGCATCTTCACCTTTCAACTCAGCGGCATCCTGGAGGTAGGTCAGGCCTTGGCCCAGTGAGAACACGTCTCCAGAAAATGTAGTGGGTGTCCCCCTCGTGCTGACTCAAATCCAGGGACTTTTGAGGACTTTAAATGACCTGATTTAAGTAAGTTGCTGATGATTAACTGCACGGTACAAAAAGAAAAATCTCTGATGCCACCTTTTATCTGCCCAAGAGGGATTTTTTTTTTTAATCCTCACCTGAGGACATTTTTTTTCATCTATCTTCAGATACAGCAGGAGTGAGAGAGGAAAGAAGAGAGAGAAACATCGATGAGAGAGAGACAGTCAATTGGTTGCCACCCACACGGCCCCAACCAGGGCCAGGGACAAACTGCAACCGAGGTATGTACCCTTAGTGGGAACAAAATCCAGGACTCTGGTCTGTGGGCTGACGCTCTAACTGCTGAGCCAAACCGGCCAGGGCAAGAGGCATCTTTTTAAATACATCGTAATGAAGTTCACATGGCTGCCTCTCCCGGATTCCAGATCTTTCTTTTGCATAAAGTGTATCCACTGGCAGAAAGGAGTCATCAGGAATAAATGCTTATACCTTGGACAGGAGTCGTAGCTATTTCTCAATTCAGTGCCCTAAAGGGCATCCCGCAGAGAGGTCAAGAGTCTTGTGATGTCAAGAAAGTGAATGAAACCTGCTTGAACACTTCAGGTTTGCCTTCACCTAAAAAGCCCTCGCCCATCCATCCGTACCACTATCTCTCTGCATCCTTCAGGGCAATAAATTCCTGGCACATATTAGATGCTTAGTAAATGATTGATGGGTGAGCAGATAACGTCTCCCAGGAAATAAACACCCCCGTGGGTAAACACTGGCCTTCCTCTTGAATATCTGTCTTGCGCATTTTTTGCGTGCCCCTCGTGGTCTTTGCATTATCAGAGTGATTTGCTGTATCTCCCTGGAAGGACATCATACTCCTGTCAGCCTCCCACAGCCTTTTAATAAGGCAGAGCTGGTGCTGAGCAGGTAACGATTCTGACTGGCCAATTTGGGGGCACAGCATAAGAGCCACTGGGACCAACTGTTTTGGGCCAGGACCTTGAAGGAAGAAATGGGTGTCTAACTCCTGTCGCACTGGTGTGTTTTGGCTACAGTGTCACGGCCACAGCTGCCAGCATCGGAGCTGCCGGAGTGCCCCAGGCCGGCCTGGTGACCATGGTGATCGTGCTGAGTGCCGTGGGCCTGCCCACAGAGGACGTCACCCTGATCATTGCTGTCGACTGGCTCCTGTGAGTTGGAATAAATGCGCTGCCTGGGCCGAAGGGGAAGGCAGGCTTCCCGGCCGGCAGAATCCGCACTCTGCCATCACTCTCTCTTCAGATTGCCCAGTGAGCCACCCTGCTGCTTCGGCTTCCCTCTGACAAGGCCAGCTGATAACGTGGTTGAAAATTAACTCCTCATCCCTTCAAGCAGGGATTTAAAAAACCAGTGATCTCCACTAGCTCAGTATGCCTGGTAATGCTCTAGGTTAGGAGCTGGGTGCTGGACGAGGTAATCACAAAATAATAAGGTGAAGAAGCTTGGCGAGGCCCCAGACATTCCCAGCCCCACAGGCCACCCTCGCCTCTCCCAGCCCTGGGCCAGCAGCATAGTTTCAGAACCACCAGCTTCGCAGTCAGAGTCCTTCCAAGCACCTGACCATCAGGGGCAATGGCACGAGGAAAGGCTTTGCTGCAACGCTGCCTTGTCTTCCTGGCTTCTGACCTTAATTCCTTAACCTCTCTGAGGTCCGGGTGCATTATCTGTAAGATTCTCTCTCATTGGGTTGGTGTAAGAACTGAGTGAGCTAATATGGGAGACGTGTCTAAAACAGTGTCTGCCAGACAGTATGTGCTCAATAAAAGACAAGTATTATTGTTACAACTAGAGTGAGTTACACCATTCAGGCCTCAACCAATGATGCTCTCATATTCTCTCTCATATTCTCTCTCATATTCTCTCATATTCTCCCATTCTCTCTCTCTCTCTCTCTCTCTCTCCCTCTCCCTCCCTCCCTCCCTCCCTCCCTCCCTCCCTCCCCGTTCCCCTGTCTCTTACGCACACACGGCTAAGGAACACAGCAGAGCATCTGTGGTATGTCGAGGGTAAGGGTAAAAACATGCCTTTTGTGATGCCCAAGGTTAAAGTTAGAACGAGCCTGGTTCCCAGCTCCATCCTTGGTTGATACTCATGCTGTGCTTTGACCTTCCGACATCTAGGTCCGGCTCTGTCCACTGGCCATCAGGGGCAAGTGTAGCTCCTTAGTGAGCCTTCACTGGAACTAGCCGGGCTTACTGGGAAGGCCAGTGCTATGTAGTTTGCAAGTAGCAGCTGAAGTGGAAGGAAAGGAAACAAACATTCTGTGTGGGTTTGAAGATACAGTCATGTCCTTGAAGGCAGGAGATCCTGTCCCTGGAAAGCTGTGCCATGTGGGGTCCTCTGAGTAGCTACTTGGTTCTATAAGGCCCAAGGTTCTGTGCGGTGGCATCTTTCTTGCAAAGGTGCCCCACCATTGACAGGTGCACCCATTGTTCTTGCTAATGGTGGTGGTGGATTTGCACTTCTCTCCTTTCCCTAGTTCTTCCCGGAATCAGTGACCTTCACTTCCAAGATACCCAGAAAAGTCAAAGGTTCGGTCTGATTCATGGGATAAGACGACCAGCTGGTCCACGCTAGGGCCCAGTTCAGCCTACAGCCTTGTTCTGTGTAACCGAAGGGCGTCCAGAATGGACACGGGTAGCTCTGCTGACCTCTTCTGTCCTGCAGTGTTGTTTCCACAAGAATATTCACGCACATAGTTCTACCAGCAGTGCTCCAGCCTCCTCTCAGCAGTCTGCCTCCTCTCCCCACACCTCTTCCTGCCTTCAGCCCCTTCTCCAGGCTGTCGGGGGTCAGACTAGCTGGGGGCCCCTCAAGGAGCAAGCCATTCCCAGGCAAACCTGTGTTTTCTGACCCTGTGCTCTGTGGCGTCCCTGTTGGCTTGTTCGTGGAGTGACACAGTGTGGTAAAGAAACAAGTACACCCGGGACAGGCAAACACACAGGAACACTTGGCACACACACAGTGCACATGCCAGCCACCAACACCCACATTCTCTCACCCTAGCCGAAGGAGAGCCCGGATATGCTCACAAGGCAGAGGTTAAGGGGGAAAGACTTACTGAATTTTGACTCTCCCTCAGCTTCCCCAAAATAATTTGTGAAGACTGTTCCCATTTCTTGGGAAGAAGAGAGAGAATTTAGGGAGATTGGCACTGCTCTTAGGGGAGTCACTGTGACTTGGGAGCACAGGCCAGGGGGAGCCGCTTCGCCCGTTCTGCCCCTTGGTGAAGCGCCTTCTGCTCCACGCCTGTGAGGAGAGGAGCCGCTGGCCAGCGCCCTGAGGACAGCACTTCTGCGTTTGCTCAGCTCATCACTCAGCACTGGGTCCTTTTTCTCTCGGGGGGGAAGGGAAATGCAGTCCCTCCTGCCTGACTCGCCCTCTCCCTTCCCCAGGGACCGGTTCAGGACCATGGTGAACGTCCTCGGTGACGCCTTTGGGACGGGCATCGTGGAGAAGCTGTCTAAGAAGGAGCTGGAGCAGATGAGCGTTTCCCCTGAAGTCAACTTCGTGAACCCCTTTGCTGTGGAAACCACAACACTCGACAACGAAGACTCGGACACCAAGAAGTCCTACGTCAACGGAGGCTTTGCCGTAGACAAGTCGGACACCATCTCGTTCACCCAGACCTCGCAGTTCTAGAGCCCCGGCTTCACGTGACTGGGGTGACGAAGGACATCTTTTAGAAAATTCAGACATTAAGGAAAAGAAAAACACTAATGGCCAATTGTACATTTGACCTGGTAACACAGACCTCCAGGTTATTTTCTATATTTGGATTCAGAGCTTTCACTCTCCAGGTCGTGGGGTTTGGGGGTGGGGTAAGAAAAAAGGAAGTTGATTCAAAGGAAAGCTGTATTATCTGGGGTTTTAAAATTCCACAAGAGACAGAGTTTGGACGTATGTAACGTAGCATGTGGGAATTCGGTAACGGACATGAAAGCGAAATTGCTTTCTCATGCACAGATCAGTGTTTTGGGTTTTTTTTTAAAAAAAATATTCTGTCATTGACTACAAATTTTTTACTCAGGCTTTCTATTGGCATGAATTTCCTTTGACGTCTCACATTTTTATAGATGATGATGCATCTAAACCATCTCTCCCCCAGTTAATGTGCCAAATTGTCCATTTTGAACTAATCTCCAGCCAATTTCAAAGAAACTGCTTTGAAATGAAACAGACCAGCACAGTTCTGCAATAACAGTTTTAAGATGGGTGTCGGGCTTGGGGGGAAGGGAGATTCTCTTTTCAATGTACTGTATTGGGGCACTGGTAACTATTAATCCAGTGTTCAGTGTAGAGCTAGAAATATATATATATATATCTATATGTATGTATATATTATTTTCATATAATTTGCCAGAGATCAGAATTGAACTGTCAATGTGAAATGAAGAGCTCTCTTTATACTTGAATAATAACTATGGTTCCAGTCCAGATCTACTTTGGGGCTTATCAGAACTCCTCTCTCAGGAGCACTAGAACGAGAAACCATGTCGTTCGATCATTTCATGTCTGTGTATCAGCCCCAAAGCAGAGATGTATAATGGGGTTACTCTGAGGTAGCATAGCCATTTATTACAACTTCCAAATTCTGCTGAGAGGGAATCCATATCAGCCCTATATAAGATGACACTCAAAGGCGACACTCAAAGGCTGGATGTGTTTTTGGCCAACTGGAAGGCTTTATTCTTCCAAAGTCCATTATACCCACTCAAAAATGACAGTACCCCTCAGGGCCCAAGCAACAGTGGCAAGCTACTAGCTAAGTTGTATTTTAATATGGATTTGATAGGTTGAACAAGCTGCATTGACCAGAAAAGCACTCTCCCTACCTTGGATTCTTGCAGAGTAAATCCCACAGTGAGATGTTGGGATCAGTGGTTCAGGAAAATCCGCTTTGTACGGCACTTGTCTCTTCCTCCGGGAAGGATTGTTCTAACCAACCAGTAGTCTAGTAGTCTTGGCCCTGCTCATTAAAATCTGTCATTTGTCATTTTCCTGCTAATTTATGAAGATACCTTATTAAAGTCTGTGCTTCAGCTCACATCTTGTAAATAATGTTTAACATAAACTTGTATTTACACTGAGATCCAGAATACTTGTGCTCCTGCAGGACTGAGTAGCCAATTTAAGCCTGTGCTTCTCTATTTAAAACACCAGAACATGGAAAAGTAAATAAATGCTCGGTATTGACCACCTGCCCCTGAAGTCAAGAGAATGATACTGAATTATTGTGAAAACACCATAAATATGAACCCGTAATTCAATGTGAGTTTTTAAAATGCAAAGAGTGGTGGTGGTTATAGAACATCTAATATGATGCAGTTGAATTAGTAATTTTCTTGGGCTGAATGGTTCTACCCCCTTGGCCAGTTTCTCCAGTTTGAAGCCCTGTGGTGGGCGGAGATGTCCATGAACTGCAGGTCCTTATTTTGGAGTCAATTTGTAACTGACCTCTTAACACACTGTGCTGTTAACTCATCAGAGAGAACAATGTTCCATTTCAATCTCAATAAACATTCCCATCATTCTTTCTTCCCCGCCTTTCTCTCTTCTTTTATCTCACTCTGATGGGCGTGGGAAGGTGGAGACATGGTCAGTTAACTCAGATTGTACACAGGTTGGCGTTTCCAAAGCTGTATTTATAGCCAAGATTGAAAAAGCAGGGCTTGAGGAAAAGTAATCTAATTCTTCATGTTAATCAGTGGGGATTAAATGGTTGAAGTTCAGTGTCATTATGAACTTTGCCCATACTTTATGACTGAGATGAATGGGTAGGTAGAATTTGGTTAGAAATTACTGTAATGGGAGGAAGTCACTGTGTTGACAGTGACTTGGTTTCACTGAAGGACTGATCCTGCCCTCCAGAATGTTACCACGAACTACCAATGGCTGTGTTCAGAGAGCTCTTGGAAGGAATGGCACAGTCCTGCCTGGAACCGAGTCCTGACGGGTTCCGCGAGTGGGCCCACTCGTGAGTGATGGACAGCAAGGGAGTGGATTGTCGGCCCTGCCGAGATAGTGTCTCATAAAAGTGCATAAGCACTACCTGGCCAAACTAATTCAGAACAGCTTTCTCTTTTGGCAACATGGGATAAAATACCAACAACGCAACTCCTGAGAAAGAGAGAGGTCTGTTTGGAAAAGTCAGTGAACCTGAGTACGTACCCCCATATGATTTTGTTCTGCCCAAAGTATACTTGTGTACAGAGGAGCGGTGTTATCAGCTCTGGAAAATTACTTCATTTTTTTTAACATAGCCCACTGGGTACAAGGCCTGTCATTTAAAACCTCCCATTCTCAGAAGAGTATGAGGAAACTGTGTGGTTTATAACCCAGAGGGGGCCAGCAACAGTTGGCTTTGCAGGTGTTTAAGATTCTTCCATCCTGGAACAGAAAGAGGAAATGGTCATGCAGAGCCTTGACAGAATTCTAGAAGGTTCTATGCAACAGAATATTCTGTATTCTCTTAACTACCCAGCAAAGGACCAGTGAGTAGGCACACAGCTCTGGTCTCTTTATCAGTTTTGTGACCCTTGCCAATAATCTAGGCCTTTGTTTAATCTGTGAAATGATGATGAATCTTGCCCCTTGAGATTGCTTTAAGTTAAATGAGAAAATGTGTATAATGCATGTAGCAGAGATACTGTCACATAATATATTTGATATATGCTAGTGTCCACCCCCCAGAAAAAGCCCTACACCCTCATCCCCCATTGACATGGGCAATCCACAGAGATGCAAACTCAATTGCTCCTCAGTGCTTGGGGGCCTTTGATAGGATTAAGGGTTGCCGCCTTCATCCCTTGATGTTAGCTGCAAACAGTTCATCCAACCTAGTAAGACAATATATTAACTCCCATTCTATGAAGGGGAGACTCTCTGAAAACAGAACACTTTGATGTAAATAGTGTAAGACTTGAGTATTTTCTTCTGTGAAGTCGCACATGGGGACTCGATCAGGCTGCATGCGTTGAGGCGAGATGGACATTCACGTGGAACCCTTCGTATCGAGTCCTGAAACCAGTGGCATGCGGTGCACTTCGACCTCCTTGGCCTGTGTCTCTCACATGAATGTCCTCCCCATGTGGAGACTGTGTTCTGGGCCCCATGTGGGATTTTTTAAATACCCCTGTGGTGGGAAATGTGCCTCCCTCCCCTGAAATCTTAACTTTTTAAGTGAAAGCCATATACTATAAACAAGAAGTCTTGTTAAATAGGCTTTGAGAACAATATATATTGATCCATATATATTGAATTACATGACCACACATAAGTGTATGAAGTTACCGTGAATGGCGATAACCGGGGACATTTCTCAGTGGCCCAGGCTAAATGCTGCCACAAAATTTCTAAGAAAGCATTAAGATCTGCTGTCCCATTTCTTTCAAATTTATTTTTGTTGCAGATGTTTCTTCTTTTCCCCCATTGACACTCTTCTCCTGATTCCCTGCCCCCCCCCCCCAGCATTGTTGTCTGTGTTCATTGACTACACACATACCTGCATATAAGTTATTTGGTTTATCTCTCCCTCCCTCCCACTTCCCCTCTTCTGAGGTTTGTCAGTCTGTACCCTCTTCTATGTCTCTGGGTCTATTTTATTCATTATATTCCACAAATAAGTGAGATCATTTGATATTTGTCTTTCTCTGATTGGCTTATTTCACATAGCATAATACTCTTGAGGTCCCTCCATGTCGTCTCAAAGGATAAGAGATCTTTCTTTCTTACAGCTGCATAGTGTTCTATTGTGTATATGTACCACAGCTTTTTTTATCCACTCATCCATTGATGGACACTTGGGCTGTTTCTAGATCTTAGCTATTGTAAATGGTGCTGCTATGAACATGGGGGTACATATATTCTGATTGCTTCTTAGGATATTTTCCTAGAAGTGGGATCAATGGGTCAAATGGCAGTTCCAATTTTAATTTTTTGAGGAAACATTATATTGTTTTCCATAGTGGCTGCACCAGTCTGCATTCCCACCAGCAGTGTACTAGGGTCCCCTTTTCTCCACACCCTGGCCAGCACTTGTTGTTTGATGATTTGTTGATGGCGGCCATTCTGGCAGGTGTGAGGTGATACCTCATAGTTGTTTTTTTGTTTGTTTGTTTGTTTTTTATCCTCACCCGAGGACATTTTTCCATTTTTTTTTTGTACAGATAGAGTGGGAGGGGGAGAGAGAGACAGAGAAACATCGACGTGAAAGAGACACATCGAGTGGCTGCTACCTGCACAACCAACCAGGGCCGGGGACAAACTGCAACCGAGGTACATGCCCTTAGCGGGAACCGAACCCGGGTCTCTTCAGACTGCAGGCCGACGCTCTAACCGCTGAGCCAAACCGGCCAGGGCATAGTTGTTTTAATTTACATCTCTCTGATGATTAGTGACATTGAGCATTTTTTCACATGTCTCTTGGCCATTTGTATGTCCTCTTTGGAGAGATGTCTATTCAGGTCCTCTGCCCATTTTTCAGTTGGATTGTTTGTCTTCCTTTTGTTGAGTTGTATGAGTGCTCTATATTTTGTAGATTAATCTCTTATGTATCATTGGCAATTATGCTCTCCCATATAGTAGGTTCCCTTTCCATTTTTTTTTTTTATCCTCACCCGAGGACATTTTTCCATTTTTTTGTACAGATAGAGTGGGAGGGAGAGAGAGAGAGAGAGAGAAACATCGACGTGAAAGAGACACATCGAGTGGCTGCCACCCGCACAACCAACCAGGGCCGGGGACAAACTGCAACCGAGGTACATGCCCTTAGCGGGAACCGAACCCGGGTCTCTCCAGACCGCAGGCCGATGCTCTAACCGCTGAGCCAAACCGGCCAGGGCTCCCTTTCCATTTTGATGGTTGTTTTTTTTCTTTTTTTATCCTCACCCAAGGACATTTTTCCATTTTTTGTTCAGACAGAGTGGGAGGAAGAGAGAGGAAGAGAGAGAGAGAGAAACTTTGAAGTGAAAGGGACACATCGAGTGGCTGCCTCCCGCAGGGCCCAAACAGGGCCGGGGACAAACTGCAACCAGGTACATGCCCTTAGCGGGAACCGAACCTGGGTCTCTCTGGACCACAGGCTGATGTTCTAACCACCGAACCAAACCAGCCAGGGTCATTTTTGCATTTATCTTCAGATAGAGCGGGAGGGAGAGAGGAAGGAAGAGAGAGAGAAACATCCATGTGAGAGAGACACATGGACTGGTTGCCACCCACATGACCCCAACTGGGGCCAGGGACAAACCACAACTGAGCTACGTGCCCTCAGCGGGAACTGAACCCAGGACTCTGGTCTGCAAGCCGACGCTCTAACCGCTGAGCCAAACCAGCCAGGGCTGATGGTTGTGTTTTTTTCTGTGCAGAAGCTTTTTAGTTTGATGTAGTCCCATTTATCAATGTTTTCCTTTGTTTCTCTTGCCTTAAGTGTTGTATCAGTGAAAAGTCTGTTGCAAGTGATGTCTGAAATTTTGTTGCCTACATTTTCTTCTAGGATTTTTATGGATTCATAAGTCACATTTAAGTCTTTTATTCATTTTTTTAATTTACTTTTATTTTTTAATTATTTTTATTAATTTTTTTTTTTGTTACAGATGTTTCTCCTTTTCCCCCCATTGACACCCTCCTCCCAATCCTCCCCACCCCTTCCCCAACTTTGTTGTCTATGTCCATTGGTTATGCATACATGCATATAAGTTCTGTGGTTTATCTCTCACCCCCAACACCCCTTATTCTGGGATTTGTCAGTCTGTATCCTACCTCTATTGTCTCTGTCAATTTTGTTAGTTTGTTTAGTTCATTATATTCCACAAATAAGTGAGATCATGTGATATTTGTCTTTCTCTGCTTGGCTTGTTTTGCTTAGCATAATACTCTCCAGGTTTCTCCATGTCATCTCAAATGATAAGAGATCTTTCTTTCTTACAGCTGCATAGTATTCCATTGTGTACATGTACCACAGCTTTCTTATCCACTCATATACTGATGGACACTGGGGTTGTTTCCACATCTCAGCAATTGTAAATAGTGCTATTATGGATATAGGGGTACATATATTTTTTATGATTGGTGTTTCAGGCTTCTTAGGGTATATTCCTAGAAGTGGGATCACTGGGTCGAATGGAAATTCAATTTTTAATTTTTTGAGGTAACACGATATTGTTTTCCATAGTGGCTGCACCAGTCTGCATTCCCACCAGCAGTGTACTAAGGTCCCCTTTTCTCCACACCCTCGCCAACACTTGTTGTTTGATGATTTGTTGATGGCGGCCATTCTGACAGGTGTGAAGTGATACCTCATAGTTGCTTTAATTTGCATCTCTCTGATGATTAGTGACATTGAGCATTTTTTCATATGTCTCTTGGCCATTTGTATGTCCTATTTGGAGAGGTGTCTAATTAGGTCCTCTGCCCATTTTTTTTTATTGGGTTCTTTGTCTTCCTTTTGTTGAGTTATATGAGTACTCAATATATTTTGGAAATTAATCCCTTATCTGATGCATCATTGGCAATTATGGTCTCCCATGTGATGGGTTCCCTTTCCATTTTGATGATTGTTTCTTTTGCTATGCAGAAGCTTTTTAGTTTGATGTAGTGCCATGTGTCCATTTTTTACTTTGTTTCTCTTGCCTTAGGTGTTGTATCAGTGAAAATTCTGCTGCGTATGATGTCTGAAATTTTGTTGCCTACAGTTTCTTCTAGAATTTTTATGGATTCACGAGTTACATTTAAGTCTTTTATCCATTTTGAGTTTATTCTTGTGTATGGTGTGAGTTGGTGGTCTAGCTTCATTTTTTTTGCAAGTAGCTGTCCAATTTTTCCAACACCATTTGTTGAAGAGACTATCTTTCCTCCACTGTAAGCTCTTGTCACCTTTGTCAAATATTAATTGAGCATGCCTTGGGTCCATTTCTGGGTTCTCTGTTCTTTTCCATTGATCTATCTGTCTGTTCTTGTGCCGGTACCAGGCTGTTTTGATTACAGTGGCTTTGTAGTATAACCTGATACCTGGTAATGTGATACCTCCTACTTTTCTTTTTTTTTTTCAAGATTGCTGTGGCTATTCGGGGCCTTTTTTGGTTCCATATAAACTTTGGAGTGTTTGTTCTAATTCAGTGAAGTATGCCGTTGGTATTTTGATGGGGATTGCATTGAATCTATAGATTGCTTTGGGTAGTAAGGACATTTTAAGGATGTTAATTCTTCCAAACCATGAACAAGATTTATGCTTCCCCTTTTTTATATCTTCCTCTGTTTCTGTTTTTCAATGACCTGTAGTTTTCTGTGAAGAGGTCCTTTACTTCTTTGGTTAAGTTTATTCCTAGGTATCTTAATTTTATTGCTGCGATGGTAAATGGGATTTTTTTTTTAAGTTTCTCTTTCTATGAGTTCATTATTGGTGTATAAGAATTCCATCGATTTCTTGATATTAATTTTGTATACTGCTACTTTGCCAAATTCATTTATTAGCTCTATTAGATTTTTGATGCGGTCTTTAG